TTCCCATCCTTGCAACGATTTCAAGATTACTTTACTTTGATCAAAAAATCCTTTATTATTAGTCGACTCCTCAGAAATTTTCTCCTCGGAAACTTTACGAGTTTCGCCCCATGAAAAATCATCGAAATGCCAATATGCATAAACTGGCAATAATAAATTCCAAATGGGTAGTGTGATTAAATATACTAAAAAAAGAATAATATAATTAATTAAATTTAAATTAAATTCGCGCTATAACGGATACTTTTCACATATAAAAATCCGTTATGATTTTGGCATAAATAGTGATAGTGATTACTCAAAACACACTTTTTGAGATCAAAGATTTTAATAATGATTTTTTAGTATTTATCATCATCTAATTTTATATATATAGGGTAATCTTGGGTATTTACCACGGTAACTATTCCAATTCTTTTTTTACCACGGTAATAACCCATCACTAGGCATAACGGATTTTAAATGTTTGACCTATGCACCGTTACGGCGAGGTTTGACTATATGTAATTTTTTTTTAACATCAAATTAACAAAATAATTTTTTCACTTACCAAACATCCAACCGATATAGACAATCTTTTGTGCTGTTATTATAATTAACAAACCTGGCAATCCAATAATCAAAGCCACCAATATAACTACAAAGATGTCAATTTTTTCCGCTATTAAAGCATTAAAAATTATGAAGAATGAATACAGTATCGCACTTGGTAACATAGCAGTACCGATCAATTCCAAAAAAACTATAAATTGCATCGACAAACAAGCAATACCACACAAATCACTAACAAATAACAATTCCAATAGATTATGAACTGTGGAATTTATCCATCTACGTCGTTGAGACATCAATACCTTCATGGTGTCTGGTACAATGGTATAACATACTGCTTGTGGAATGAACATCATTTTTCGATGAGGAAAGCTTTTGAACATCAGGGTAGACAAATATCGATCTTCTCCTAGTAACAAAAGATTCTTTTCGTGTAAAGTTATAACAGAGTTTTGTTGATACTCGGCAACTAAGTGTGGGCTACTTATTATAGGTATCCAAACACCATCTTTTGGAGCTTTAAGCCTAAACATGCTGAAGCAACCTGGTAGACAAGTGACACCACCGAATACTGCTTCAAACGCTTTACCATAATGATGTGATACATAATACTCGAAAACTTGTATAGCTGATACCCAACTACTAGTTTTGTTTGCTATCCTAGTTTCACCACAACAACCCATTATCATGGGATCTTTTTTCATGGCTGAAACAAGGTAAGCTAGCGACGACTCGGAAACCTTGGTGTCAGCGTCTACCATCATTACCAATTCAAACACATCGGAAGTTATCCCCATGAGAAAATAATAACGATCCCAATAAGTCAAAAAAAAAGGAAACCGAAAGACAAGAAAAGCGACAAGGAATTATGGTCGATAGAAATAAAATTTAGGTTGATTTTATTTTTTATAAAATACATATATACTTTCTTTAAAATAGCATGTATGATATATATATATAGACAGATAAATTAATTATTAAATATAATAACAAAAAAAATCAAATTTTTTTAATTATATTAATACTAAGATTTTAATTTGTTGGCAATATCTAACGTGGTTAAAATATAATTCTCCCAAGTTTCTGGATCTTCCAAATATTTATTTATTTCATTTATTTCGGAATTATTAGGTGGTATTAAATTTTTATCTGAACCATTGCTTTCATTATTTTCTTCCGAAGATTTGTTATTTAATTCATTGGCTATCGGCTGTTCCGTCTGCTCCACTTGTTCCTTCACCGATTGTTCCTGCCCCGCCAATTGTTGCACCTCTTGACTATCACGATCATTTTGTTCTATTATTAATGATGATGGTTTATAAAGCAACTAATTTTATGTATGTATGTATGTATTATCATTAGTTTATAACCCTGACAATAAAAAATCTTAACCAATAATAATAACAACAACAACAACAACAACAATAATGCACTTACTCTAATTTCTGTTCTAGCAAGATCAGACTCTTTCTCGAAAATTTTTCTTGTTGACAGGATAAAACCTTTATAATCATAATAGTCAATGATATTTATTGAAGCTCGTTCCAACTCATATGGAATAGTTACCTTGTTATCATTGTCACGATTTAAAGTAATATAATATTTTTTTGGACATAATATATTTTGTAAACTGATTTATTTTAACAAAAATTTTTGAAATGATTTTTTTAATAATTTTATTATTAATAATAATATTCATATATAAAGCTTATTGATTTTAGATTGCTTCATACCTTTTTAATTTACATTGATTAGAAAATTCTGTAACATCTTGAAATCCAAGTAGAGAATTATTCAAAGCTGATACAAGTCGAAAATCTTTTAAGCTATACGTAAAAGTTTATTATTCGTAATGATTTCATAATTAACAAGAATGCATCTTGGCAATATAATATTAAAAAAATATTCGTACCGATCCATCATTAATGTGTCCATAAAAAGACGTCTTCTAGACATAATGAAATCCTTGATTTTCAAA